GGAGAGGCAGCCGAACCCGTAACCCCCCGCCCCCTTCCCCCCAACAGACCAACTATAAGCTCTAACACCTTAAACCTGAATCCGTAAACCTATGAACCTTACCCAAACTCACTGTAAGCCCTATAAACTCTAACCCTAAACCCTAAACCCTAAAAGCCCTCTGAACCCTGACCTGCCTGGCCAAGTTCTTGTAGATGGCCTGTCTCAAGGCCAGTTCGCGCGGGTCGCACATCCTGGGTCGGAATGTCGCAAGCCCTAAACCCTAAACCCTAAACCCTGTGCGCAGGTTCGGGGTTCATGTTGTTGCTTGTTGTCTTGTGCAAACTAGAAGTTATGGAGCGAATCTAGACCGAGTAACATAGGAATAAAGAGGGCACCCTTCTGTGGATTTAAGGGGATTATAAGGAAGCCCTAACCCTAAAAAAGGAAATAAGGGCCTACTCCGGGTCCCGGGAATTGTGGATGAGTGGATTTTGGGATTAGGCTGAGGACGTACAGAACGTCGTGGGCTTTACCAGGGGAAGCAGGTCGCCCAGCCCGAAACCATTGGACCCAGCCTACCTCACTACTCTATCCGACCTGCTCGGCGCCTTGAAACACCCTTCCCAAGCCAACCAAAATGCCTTGAGCCCGCGAACGTCCCATAAGAGATGAGGAGCCCTAAGCCCCAAACCCCAAACCCCAAACCCCAAACCCTAAACCCTAAACCCTAAGCCCTCCCCCCCCCCGCCCCAAGAGGCCAAGGGGCATGTGGAGTCCAAGGCGGTTGGTGATGTAGGCATAGGCCACCTCGGCGTCCGGATCGGCGAAGGCCAACTGGCCTCCAGTACCTGGCGCTTCCAAGGCTCTTAGAGGGTTCGTAGGGTTTAGGGTTTAGGGTTTGGGGTTTAGGGTTTAGGGTTTGGTGTTTAGGGTTTGGGGTTTAGGCTTATGCTTGGTATCCCAGTAACCATATCATAACAAGGGTACCCTTTTGGGGGTTCGCTACTTTCTAAGGGAGCCTTGAACCAACAAGAAGGGTGAAGGGTACCACTGGGCTACCAAGTATAGGGCTCTTAGGGTTTAGGGTTTCTGGAGATTATAGCGTTTAGGGTGTTCGGGTGTTCGGGTGTTAGGCTTGGGGGAGTTTAGACCGATGCTCTAGGGTTTAGGGTTTAGGTTTTCTGAGGAAAGTTAAGTGCCAGATCTTTCCCCCATACCGTTACCGGCTGTGCCAGGAAAGGGGGTGGAATCCTCGGGTCTGCCGAAATTGGAATGTTGGGGCAAAGATGGTTATAGGATCCTTAAGGAAGGGGATCAGATATAACCCCAAACCCCAAACCCCAAACCCCAAACCCCAAACCCCAAACCCTAAACCCTAAACCCTAAAAGGAAGGGGATCAGATTTGAGGTACCTACTTCCCTACTAACAACCAGCTAAAGAATCGAGCTGCTGCTCAAGGTCTTGGTCTTTCAAAAGTCAGAGGTCAAGGCTTGCAGCTTTTGGTTCGAATCGCCCTAAACCCTTTTTGCTTCAGGGCTCCTGTGGTATCTTGCCTGGGAGCGAGGTTGTTCAGGCGACATCATGCGAGTCGGATGACTTCGTCAACTACCCTGTCCTGAACCTCTTCAAACACCAGTATCTGGGATTGTTGCCAAACGAGGCTCTTTATGTGGGGTATTTGGTGTATGCAAGCATCTACAAGAAACTCCGAAACCTGGGCTAAAATGACAAGAGGATTGACTTGGCGCAGCATGGCATAATACGTCGCAGCTCTGTGGAGGCAAGACTACAATGCCACATCCCTACCCCTCCCCAGCATCCAGCGTGTAAGAGGTGTATGCTCCATCGGAAAAAGAGACCAGCACAACTAGCATCCACGCTGCTTGAATGCGGTAGGGAGCTAGGCCACTGCTCCAAGCACTGGGGGCCACCAACGTTGGCGTCTGAATAAGGCTGCACTACATGTCTCGCGTACTGCCGCCCCTCCCTATCGCTAGCTGCGTCGCACAAGGACTGGGCATCGGCAGGATCCACAGGAGTGCTGATATGACCATCTGCATACATCCATTGCGTGCAATTACTACACCACTTCCAGTATGTGTTCCATGGCCCACCCTGGCTCTGGCGACCATGCCCAGTCATGAACATCTCTGCTGCTGGAGACTGCGGCCTCCTGAGGAGGTGGCCCAAAAAAGCCCACTTACGCAAGACCATCATCTGTGCCCAACCAACTTGGTTCATCCACATGAGTTGCAAGACAGCACGTCGGCGGACCCGATTCAAGACGACTGCATCTTGCTGTTTGAGGCTATTCGGGATGTACAACTTCAGGAGGCCCACCAGATGAGACACTTGCATGACTTGGATGGCATTTATGTGCATGGCCAGAGGCTCAATCGCAGGAGTCACCCATGCAAACCTAGAGAACACATGTTGCATGTGGAAGTTCAGAGCGGACCTTACACTAGTCCAAGAAAAGAGCCTAGAGATGCCTGCAAGTTCTTCCCCCGTCTGCTGCATCGTCCGTCGGATCGAGGACACGAGTTGAGCACTGACATCTTCCTCCAGAGGATGTTGCAGAGCTTTTCTGAGGTAGTTCATTTTAGTTGCCCATGCAAAACCTCTGAGAACATGTTCACTCGGCACGGCATGCACGCCCAGGTCCAGCATGGCTTGCGTCGACATGACTACAGTCTTGGCAGGGTTGACTTCCAAACCTATCATTCTGAGTGATTCGGCAAAGCGGGGCATGAGGTCTATTGCATGCTGCCACGAGGGAAACCCCAATAAGATGTCATCAACATAGGCCCATCCCCACAGAGGATGAAAAGGAACATGACCATCAGCAGCCCATTCAGCAAAGATGCGATCCAAAATGTCACCTAAGACATATGAGAATACGAAAGGTGAATGCGTCCCACCCTGTTGGACTCCTCTGTGCTGCTGGACCTGGAAGGAGAAGCTTTGGAAGCTACAGGAATGAACGGGTCCCAACAAGAGCTCGGCCAGCCTAGCGGACTCAAGAGCACCACCATGTTTAAGGGATTGTCTGCTCAAATATTCCAGGACGGTACTGAGCAAAAGATTGTCATAGGCACCCGAAATATCCAGACTGACCCACGCTCCTGGCATGTTGGACGCTACTTCGCGTTGCAGAGCAGACGAAGCCATGAGCAGGCACTCGAACACCTGGCCACCAGGCACGCCTCCCAGCTGGTGTCGAGGCACCGGAAATCGCCCCTTCAAACGCGCACTCAAAGCTGCTGCATATACCTTCTGCACCGTTTCCAGCAAAGACATGGGTCTGAACTGATCGCTACTGCCAACAACCAATTGCTTTGGAATAAGTACAAGATAGCTGTTCATATAGTCAACAGGCACCTCATCACCGGCAAGGAGGCGGTTCAGATGGCAGGTCAAAAGCTGTCTCCCTTTGTCAGATGTGCTTGCCCATCTAACGAAATCAGTCGAGAAACCAGAGAGGCCACTACACTTGTTGGACTTAAGCTTGTTGCACACAAGCACAACTTCATTCGTGGAGAAGTCCTGAAGGTCAGCCGAGTCCACGCGAGTCCGCAGCTCTTGGAGCAGAGACTGGCAGAGACCACTCTCCTCTGAACTTGCGTTGTCACAGAAAGTCTTGGAGAATCTGTCGGACAGAGCCTTTCCTTGCCACCACATGCTGCCAGGAACGAGTTCAAACAAGCCTGCGAGCTCCTCTTGGCCTTTACATATCTGATGGCATAAGCATCCCCAACTTTCACCTGCTCCTGCAACTTTGCCCACCACTCCAACTTCTCAGCCTTTCTGACTGCAATAATGCTCTTTGTCAACTTGCCACGGGTTTCGGGGTCACGCTCACGCTGTCTACTTTTACACAAGTGCTTGAGGAATCGGGAGTCTCTGTACTTGAAGCTGCGGGCGCGGGCCGATGAGATTCTGCAAACCTGCTGAAGAGTCTCCCACTGACCCTGGGCATTACTGGCCGAGAAAGCATCCAGGCTGACTGCTTCCCCAGAGCGTGCTCAGCCTCCTGAGGCTTCACCAACCATCGTGCACACCGTTTTGCGCGCAGGTTTCCTGGTCCGTCGGGTCGCTCCCCCCTCCTTCCTCAATTGGGAAGGAGGGGAGTTTCGGAGGGAGAGGACGCATTGCACCAATTCGTGGTCTGACTTCAATTCCATCCTAGCACCAGAAGCAATAACAACGTCAGTAGTTTGAGTTTGAGGGTGCAGCAACTTCAGGGCATGAGGGTTGAGAAACATGTAATCCAACTCCTTCCCATATCTCGACCTGTTGCTGAACCATGTCTGCAAGCCAGATGAGAATAGTTTCATCCCAACTGACGTCATCCGTTGGCCCAAGTGCTGCCATCGGGCCTCGCCACTCTCTGTATTGAAATCCCCAAGTACAATCACACATGAATACTTTGTCTCACATATATACGAGATTACTTCTTGCACAGCGAATTCGAAATCATCTTCAGAAAAACCCGAGTGGGGCAAGTGCACCGAGGCAATGGTAAGCATACGCTGTAGACCCACTGGTTTGAAAGTCACTCCGATGCATCTCCTGCCAGCCCAACCGTTCTGTATGTAATCAACGGAATGTCGGTCCAAAAGGATCACTTGACCTAGATGACTTTCAACACGATGGGAACCCAAAGCAATATACTCCTGCAAACCCTCAATGTCACTGGTGTCAAAGTTCTGCAAGTGGCCTTGTTGAATGCTCCTCAAGAGATGAAGGCCGGAAACTTCTTGGAATGTTGCAAATTCTATATCGTGCAATGTATCTGAAACCCACTCCCCAAGACTTGACAAAGAGTTCCCTTGCACATTCCAGGTGGAGAACCCAAACTGGGCGAATGTCTGTACATCGGGTTTGCTGCGATTTCAGCTCTGCTCGAGAGTATTGGCCACCACTTCCAGCTGCAGCTTTAAGATTGTGGAGAGTCTGCTCACACAAAACCAGTGAGTATGCTTCAATCCACCACTGTCGATGAAGTGACTGGCCTTTACCTGCTCATATGGGTTGGCACACAAATCCTCCGGTTTTGGGGCGCAAACACGCTGATCAGCGATCCACATCTGCTTGGTCCAGTCAGCCTCCAATCCCACTTTCTCACAGGAGGTGCCGGCTTTGTGAGCTGCTCGAGCTTCTCCAAGAAAGCCCTAGTGATTTTGTTACGGGCTCTCCTTTCGGGACTCCGGCTTGGAGACACCCAGATGAGGTCACCACCTGTGGCTTGCACTCGCCTTCCCGCCGCATTTTGCGCAAGGTAGAAGCGATTTCTTTCAGCATCTGCAGAGTCCAGAGGGTGCAAGGATATGTGACACGTGGAAGCCCTTTGACCAAATATAACATACCTGTCATACGAAAGACCCTTGGGAAAGAGGCCGATCACCTTCAAAGCATCCTGCTCTATGGTTGCTCTGCGGGTGTCTTGGGCCCACCCACCCAGCACAACATGCGAGTGCTCTGTTTCACGCAATGCTTCCCTACGAATCGGGCTGCTGGCGGGAGAGGAAGGCAAAGAAATGAACACAGTCGGAGCCTTCGCCGGGGCTGCTGCAGCAGAACCAAGAGGGCCAGCCAGGCCACCATCACCACCCATACCTGAATCATCCCCTTTGGCTGCGTCCTGCTGATTCCGTATGTAGGCTGACCAGGGGTCATTCAGGTTAGAGGGGCGCGGCACTGCAGCCGCACCGGCCATAGATCCCGAAGCACCACTTCCCCCTTGAAGCTTCTGAACAACTGTGCTCATCGACTCCAGCTGTTTCTCCAAGGATGAAAGCCTATCAGATTCGGAAGACCTCTTCGCCTCAAGCTTGTCAATCCTGTTTGACAGCCCGTGCAAACTCTGACCCAGAATGGAGACCTGCTCTGTAACCACTGACTGCATCTGAATGGCCCATGCTGGAGCTTTTTCATTAGCGGCAGCTTCTTCAAGCATCTGGTCTAACTCTTCATCAGGTCTATCTCGCTTCCTCGAAGGACTGCCCTCAACGTCAGACAGAGTAGGAGATGGCTCAGCCATGAACCCTTCTACAAGAGCAACCACTTATGAACAGGCTCGAGCACAAACCCTTGAGCCAAAATGGCTACGCCCTAAACCCTAAACCCTAAACCCAAAACGCTAAACCCTAAACCCTAAACGCCCTAAACCCTAAACCCTAAACCCTAAACCCTAGACCCTAAACCCTGGGCCTGGCGTGCCGAAGCACCGGTCGCTGCTGCCGAAGCTCGTGGTTGGGCAGGGCTTCCTTGGTAGCCCAGGAACCATTTTTAGGTTTAGGGTTTAGGGTTTAGGGTTTAGGGTTTAGGGTTTAGGGTTTAGGGTTTAGGGTTTAGGGTTTAGGGTTAGGTGCATTCAATCTAAGGGCACCCTTTTTGGGGGCTTGATCACTTTCTTCGGGAACCTTGAACCAAACAAAAAGGGAAGACGGGGGCACCACTGGGGCCAAGCTTCATGAAGCCCAGCGAGAGCGCGGTCGGCTGTCTCAGAACCACGTCGAATCTTTCGTCGATCGGTGCCTTTCGGCAATGCTCCGCGTAAAGGAGCCCTCCAGTCCCAAGCATCCCCCAAAAAAGCCACTCTCATCTCACCCCCTGAACCGCTAAAACCCGCAAATCCTAAACCCCAAATCCGACACCCCGAACCCCCAAACCCTACACCCTAAACCCGAAACCCTTAACCCCCCAGACCCCAAACCCTCCAAACCCCGCGGAAGGGCCAACCCTAAACCCTAAACCCTAAACCCTAAACCCTAAACCCTAAACCCTAAACCCTAAACCCTAAACCCTAAACCCTAAACCCTAAACCCTCAGGGCCAACCAGGGAATATACTTCGGCCGAGGCTCGGCGACCGCGGCCAAGGTCGCGGAGCTGAAGCCCAGCTCTCCCTGACGACCCCATGTCTCTGTTTTAGGGTTTAGGGTTTGTAGGGTTTAGGGCTCAGGGTTTAGGGTTTAGGGTTTGTTTAGGGTTTGTAGGGTTTAGGTTTAGGGTTTAGGGTTTAGGGTTTAGAAAGTGTGAATTTAGGTTTTTGTCGGGTTTCTTTGGGTTTAGGGCTGAGGGTTAGGGTTTGTCGGATTTGGGGTTTAGTGGGTTTATAATGATTGTAGGGCTTAGGCTTTAGTGTTTGGGTTATTTTGCCACCCACCTCGCTGAGTGTAAGATCGCAGTGCAGGGAAATCACTCGTCATCAAGCCGGGACAAGGAGGGCTCTGGAGCAGTTTGCACCCAGAGTGCTCACCCCGTTCGTCCCTGCCCTTCAGACCCCTCCAAAACACCCTGATGCGAAAGACCCAGTATCACCCAAAGGAGTAGTAGGAGTTTAGAGGGTTTGTGATTGTTTCTAGGGTTTAAGCTTTAGGGTTTAGAGTGCTTAGGGGGTCTAGGGTTTACAGGGTTTATAGGGTTGAGGGTTATGTAGGGTTTAGGGTTTAGGTTTTAGGGTGGCTTTTTCAGAACCTAAAGTTTTCTGGGGGGGTTGGGGCTTCTTCTTCGGATATCTATTCTTCAGATAAGGGGTATCGGGTTCATTGTGGGTTCATCATCTTGGGGGGGTGGCTGGTAGGATGGCCCCTATTTGCTTGCGGGGTTCGAGTTTCGGTGCTAGGGTCTTAGGAGGCTCTTTGCTGTTAGCCAAAAGCAAAGAACAACGTGTTCTTACCACAAGAGCGCAACGCAGAAAGTCAAAAACGAACTCTAAACCCTAAACCCGATAAACCCTAAACCCTAAACCCTAAACCCTAAACCCTAAACCCTAAACCCTAAACCCTAAACCCTAAACCCTGAACCCTGAACCCTGAACCCTGAACCCTGAACCCTGAACCCTAATCAACTCCCCAGAAGGTCCTGGAGGATGGCGTCGTAGAGCCGCGCCGCGCCGCGCGCCGTCGTGTGGAAGTTGGCCCCTGGGATGCTCAGTGTTCGCACCTGCTCCTGGGCTCAGCTTCCTAGGGTTTAGGGTTTAGGGTTTGGGGTTTGGGGTTTGGGGCTTTGGGTTTAGGGCTTGGGGCTCTCGCACTCGGCAGGCAAGGCGTCGGGTTGAGGGTGTATTGGGGTTTAGGGCCGCTAACTTGCATCTAGGCGAGGGGGGGGGGGGGGGGCGGCTCCTAAATCCTAAACATCCCTAAACTCTAAACTCTAAACCCTAAACCCTCATAACGTGTTGGGCAGCTGTGAAGACTGCTGGGGGCGCACTCACTGCAGGGCTCTCGCCGGATAAGATCTGACCCGTGGCCTGACCTCTCTGAAACCGGCGAGCAGGGTGGACCTACGAGGCGCCATAGGCCCTGCTTAACGAGCATACAACCGTACTTATATGGTAATATATATATATATGTATATATATACACATCCATATATAACATCATATAACATCATATAAGACAATATAATATATAAGATGTAAAGTAAAAGCCCATACACTAAACCCTAAACCTCCAAATGCTTCAGAGGCTCGGTGGCGTAGCTCGTGGGCTTCCCCAGAAGCTGGGGGTTCTTGAAGGCCCGGGCGGCGTAGGAGGAAGGCTGGAAGAGGAAGTTCTTGATGAAGTCCGAGCTAAACTTCCTCAGATCCGCATCTTGGACCCCTTACCCCCCAAACCTTAAACCCTAAACCCTAAACCCCAAACCCCAAATCCTAAACCCTAAACCCTAAACCCTAAACCCTAAACCCTAAACCCTAAACCCTAAACCCTAAACCCGAAGGGGGGGGGGGGGTTGCGGTAAGTGCTACTTGGGCATCCTCGTTTCTCTTGGGGCAGGTGTTTGGGGGCTGGACGAAGTCAAGTTTGGGGCTTGTTCCTTCCAGGGGAACGTTAGCCTTTGGGGATGATAGGGTTTAGGTTTCGGGTTTAGGGTTTAGGGTTTAGGGTTAGGGTCTAGTGTTTTACAGCAAGGTTCCTTGTAGCCTGCTATCACCCTAACCAGGGCGCAATGAACCCTGCTATGTAGGCGGGGCATGAACCTCCAAGTGGAGTATAGCAATGATCAGTTCCCGGGCTTTCTTTATTTGTTAGTTGGGATGTTGCAGGGTCTCACGCTTTCCATTTTAAGAGGTTGGCGGCCGGCTTGCTAAGGCCCACTGCAAAGACTTTCTTTTTGAAGGGTCTGTTTGACGCGTCGGGTTGCCAGGCTTCGTGTTTGGGATTTTGAAAGCTCAGAGACCAAGTCTAGCTGGATACCAGAGCCCAAATCATCCCTACCCTAAACCGTAAACCGCAAACCCTAAACCTCAAGAAAGATACATCTCCCCCAACCCACATCGCAAAATCGCCACAACCCCTAAACCCTAAACCCTAAACCCTAAACACTGAAACCCCTCAAACACCTGAAGCCCAGCAGCCCCCGCAGGGCCATGTCGAAGTGGCAGAAGGCATTCAGGGATGCGAGGCGTTTTCGGTCCAGCTGCGAGGGGGGCGGCAAGCCGCAGTAGACCTCCTCTCGGCGTTGGATTCGGCGTGATTTAGGGTTGAGGGTTGCGGGTTTAGGGTTTAGGGTTGGGGTTCGCTTTCCTCATTTCCCTTTCATTTCTACTCACCACGTGCACGACCCGAAGCCCTAAAACGTCCCAACGCAAACAAAACTCGACAGGCCCTCCTTAGCTTAATTTGGAACCCTATAGCCGCCCCAAAAGCCGCCAACCCCAAATCTTCACCAATGCTGCAAGCCCTCCTTAGCAACACTTCCAAGCAAACCCCTGAACAGCCTGAAGACCCGCTTCTTATACACAAAAAGCAAACTCTCCCCAAAACAGGCCCCTAAACCCTAAACCCTAAACCCTAAAGCCCAAAAGCCCAAAAAACCTACACCATACACCCCCTAAACCTCAAACCCCTAAACCCCCAAAGATGCCCTCATGCGTCCTCCGCGCAGCCCAGCTTGGAGGTCGCCTCCTCACGGAGGAACTGGTCGATCCCACGGTGCTTCGGGTCTGCCTTCCCAATTCCCAATGAGGCGAAGGGCATTCCAGGAGAGTTTTCGTCGGGGGGGGGGGGTGTCTGTGAGGAAAAAAGTGCTGCCATGCAAAGAAGGTAGGTCGAAGAACTACTACCCCCTTTCTTTTCTGATCGAATTCGTGTCAAAGTTCTTCTTGAATCTCAGGTACAGCTACTTGCGAGCAGCTAAAGTTAGAGCAGAGCCCGACTTTCATCAACCCCACGTGGCGGCAAAGCATGTCGACATACCAGCCCATGGTGATGGCCATGTAGCCGTTGTTCCCCTCCTGGAGATCGAGAGCGGAGATCTCTAGAGAGCCCAATCCCTCCTAAAACGAATTTCCACAGACAGGTGCTTGACTAAAGGATATCCTTGGCTGCACTTAGAAGGGTAGCTAGAAATTTAATTTTTAGCTGCCCTATTAAGAACCCAATAAACCCAAAAAGGCTAAAGCACCACAGAGTATTATGATCCCTACTCAGAATAACAGTAGAAGGGGGAACATCCCCCTGGGATCATACTTCGCCCCAGGATTCTCAGTTGGGGGATGCTCTGCGGCCCACGGAAGGAACTCTCTGGTACTCTGGGGGGGTCCATGTACCTCGATGGTATAGACTTGGGCCCTAAAGCTACGATATATATATATATGTATATATATATATATATACAGGAAACCCCTTGAAGGCCCAAGTATGTAAGGGACCCTTTGGGTCTGGGGGTCAACGCGTCAGGCGTACTGGGCGAGGGATTCTCTGCATGGGGTTCTTTTGGGGGTGGCACGGGGGGGTGGCGCTCCCAGGAACTCTCTGAAAAGAACACACTCTGCCATTTTGGTGCTCCAGGGGTACTCAGCAACACACTCGGCAGTTGGGCGGGGGAAAAGGAAGAGTCCTTCAACTTGTGCAGGTATCCTGAAGGGTAGAATAGAAAGGGCACACCGTATGGTCTTAGGGCTGCAAGGCAACCCGGCTACCGTGTAATTAAGTTAGTCCTGCAAAATCCTCGTCAGCCCGCACTCAACCCATGATGCAGGGGTGTTTAGGGTCTACGAAAGCAGAGGCATTGCGGCTCTGTGGGGCGTCTTTGAA